TTAATTTGTGGGTATCATCGTAAAATCGATTTTTGAGTGTGATCCACATATCACTTGGATTCAATCCAACATTATTGAATAATGGTAATGTGGAGGATAAATGCGATCAAATTAATTGCAAAAAAAATAATAAATAAATAAAATAATAAAAAAATCAATTTACCTATACCAAGATCAAAATTAGATTGCCCGAAAAATTGTTTCAAATTTAATTGTTTGATTCATTTATGAGGTTTGATTCTTCCAACCATTGCTTGTCTTATGGAGTAACCTTTAAAATTCATCAAATCCAACTTAGGGCTTGTTCGTATTGCCTACATGAACCGAGACCTGGTTGGTCATGTTAGAAAGTTAGGGTAAGAATAACACTTAAAATTCTGAGATCGTGATTATCACTTTCAAATTAAAGTATTTGGGTGATACTCTCAAATCCTGAATTGGATAAGAAAAATGATAGAGAACAAGAACAGAAAATGAGAAGATATAAGTTCGTTAGTCGAAGAATTCTGACCAAAAAATGGTTATTAACCATCTATATCCAAAAACCGCCACCAAGTAGTTTTTTTGTTTGAAAACTACCAAAACTGTCCTAAAACAGTTTTAGCAACCAACAAAACCGACATAAATTCGATTTCAACACGAAGGGTAAAAAACTAAGTTATTTTTCCGGAAAAACAAATTTCAGCTCGACCTCAACCAGAGGCTCTGCCCATTGGACCCCGCTACCAAGGGTTTTGCCTCTAGACCCCCGCTCGTCTCTAAATGACAATCTACATGGATTATGGACCAAGCCGGAATAAATCAAAACCACATTACCATCTCGTCAAGAAAATAATTGTGGATTAAACATATCATGTTTTGTAAAGCTAAGGAGCCACTTATATAATATAGTCATGTAATAATGTTTCCTAATAGCTTAAGTTTTGATTTTATGAATTTCACGTAATTATTTATCTATTTTGGGCTTTATATAACCAAGGTCAAACTTAACATAAGTTGGTCCGATTGAGATAGAATCATACACAACGAAGATGAATAGGGTTGAAAACGACTGAAATTTTGTCTAGCAATTTCAATTGCAAAGGAAATTATATTAATTTCGCTTATGATTACATTTCTCATTTTAATCAGATTATGTATCGATGTCAATATCTTCCATGGCTTCTCATTTGAAATGTGTACACAAGTTTTTTAGCACATGTACCTTTACAACATATAAATATATTATATAAATATATTGGATGTGATGGATGCTTTCAAAAAAGTTAAGATAACATTGAGCTTACTTAACATGCAAGAAGAAAGCAACCACACTAGGCAAATAATAAATCTAAATTAAGTTTCTTAGAAAATAAGTATACAAACTTTATATGAACTTGATAAGCTATTATTTTATTTGAAATTATTAATTTATCTAATATTAATGGAGATTTTTCTTAGAGCATAATCCTATAATATATGTTATTAGCCACCATCCTATGTATTTGGGCATGTTGGGCCCGATTCAGAAAACCAGTTTAGACATGCAGTCTCGGTTCGGCCCAAAATTTCAAACTTCAAACAAGATAGGACCGGTCCAAATCTGTCTATAACCGGTCTTCAAATGGGTTTTGAAAAACTGATTTAAGTAAATTTTGATGCAGTCTTAAGTCAGTTAAACATGTCCAAACAATTTTTTATTTTTTTTTTTTTTTATTTTTTTATTTTTTTAATCTCTAGTAATTTTTCCTATAAACATTTCATGGTTTCCAAGCATTCTTTCTAAAATATTAGCTTTCAATTCGAGTATAGCTATTCTTTCCGGTATTCACGTTTTTACTTTTGACCCAAATTACGCAAATATGTTATGTTTTGGAAACAAGAACTTAATAAGTGACTTATTATGGGTTTTGAAAATATTAAACTATATACATAGAAAGGAGTATCGAGATAACCTTTGTAAACTTGAGTTGGATGGGACATAGCTATATGCCAATAGGTGGGACATAGCTATATGCCAATAGGTGGTATTTGAGAAACTCAGGTCATCTTGTAATGTTACTAATCTTTTAAAAGTGATCTCTACTACCAAATCAACAATTACTTTATATATATATATATATATATATATATATATATATATATATATATATATTAACACAAATATCTTAGTTTAACAAAAAAAATATATACATTCAATTAGGCTTTAAATTCTTAATTGTTATTTCGTAAATTAGTTTATATATAAAACATAATACAAATTAAAATATAAATTTGTAATAACAATTCAAATACATTTGCAATTAGGAAATATATATATATATATATATATATATATATATATATATATATATATATAATTGGTTTTAATATTTAGTTAATGTCATTTGATTAAAAAAGTAATATAAATCAAAGTTGCAAGCCTTTCAAAAGCTAAAGACCAAATAGTAGGTGGCATCAATTTGAGATGAAGTAGCATTGCAATTGTCTTTGCAAGTCCTTGATGTGGATGCTCTTAGAATTGAGGAAGGAGTATGTTGTTTCCATGTTTGGACATGTTTTAAAATTAAAATGGCTATATTATTTAGAAATATAATTTTGAAACATCCTTGCTTATGCATTGCAAGTATGATGGGTTGGAGAGTCCCATGACTTTATAGAGGTTGAATGAAATTTCCTTTTGATTGGTAGATGGTGAAATTCGCTTATAAAAGGATTCATGTGTTTATCTTGAACTTTTTATAGAGGATTAGCCATCGAAAACGGATAAACAGATAGTTTATTCGGTATTTCTCTGACCATTGGATTTATGTAGGAAAATGAACCTAATGAAGAGTAACGATTTGAGATAAAGAAATGCTTTTAAAAAAAAAAAATTCGAAAATATTTATAGAATTTATACTTATGGATTGGGAATTGACATTCCCACTTCCATTCCATGATCAGATTCTAGTATTAGTGATTAAGTTTCTTAAGCCAACTCATTATTTTGACATGTGCTTGCATTTTAGCACACTATTAGACATTTTGAAGGTGATACATGTATTGTTAAGCTTTTGATATGATATTATGCTAAAACACCCTCCTACTAATTAACTGTGAAATTTTAAACCATATTTTGAAATTGGGACGAAGTAATTCTGCATTAAACTTTCAAACTTTTAAAAAAGATTTTTTTTTATGAAATAATCTAATTCCTACTAGCACCTACAAGAGGTGTTTTTAGTTTAGTATTTCGATTACTTGTATTTCGATTATACAACCGGATATTTCTTTTCAATGCTATGTTTATGTTTTACAATTTAAATAGTGTTATAAAACAATTTGTAAGATTTTATATTAATGAAATATTGTATAATTTTAATATATATATATATATATATATATATATATATATATATATATATATATATATATATATATATATATATATATATATATATTAAAGAAATGAATCTTAAGAATAGTAATGAAATAGTAAACTTGCCATTTATTTTGCAATTTTGCTCTTCATTCTTTGGCCATTTTGATACTTTTGATCCTTACAATCAATAATTTTACACTCTTTAGGAACCTTTTAATATTTAAACTTTGATCACAAAACTTTAATGGTTTGACAACTTTGATCTCTTTTCGAAAAAGTTGCTAATTCCTACCGCTTTAATTATTTAGTCATTTTGACACTGCTGATCCTTGCAGTCAAAACTTTTACATTTTTTCATAAAAACATGAAAAAATGGTTCGTGGCAAGCCCAGACTTTTCATCCTTGCACTTTTTACGTCTTCCATATTTATCGATTCGGAAACAACATTGAAAACTTCTGACCCCCGCGTAGCGGAGGTAACCTTTCTAGTTAATGATTAATATACTTTGTTTGATGCTGCAAAGACCACGAGAGCAAACCATTCTAACCGAAAGCAGACCAAAAAAATAGTTGACTGGTCCGCAACCGATTTTGTACATATTTACCCCAAAGTACCATATATAATTGTCCATTTATTTTCATTAACGAGAGATCAATAGAAATATATTGATTATGATGGTGTATATATTTACATTAATGAAAGATGAATTAACAGAAAAACATTAACCTTCATGATATTAGAACTTAATTATCACCATTACATCTTTGATCTCTCATTGATGCAAATAAATGCACAATTACATGGTACTTTAGGGATATATAAATTGAGCCAAATACAATTAATGGGAAAAAAAAAAATACTAATTATCAGGTTTAGTGTACCTTATGCCCAAAAAATAGTATTGAATCAAAATTGGCTAAATCCATTTAAAGCGTATATATGAAATCAATGTGATTTTAATCATATAATAAAAACGCTTGTAAATACAATTATAGCCTTTGCAAAGAAAATGAGATTTAATAAATTTCAAATATGAAGGAGTTGAATTTTGTCATGTGTTTGGTTGAAGAACACTAAGACCGTATTTTCTTATTTTTTAAGTTTTTTAAATTGACATGTTGGCAAGTAAAAAAATAGCTAATAAACTATTTTTTTAAAAGCTACTTAGACACTACCTATTAGCTGAAAAACTAACTGATAGCTGAAAAACCAACTGTTAAATAAACTAAAAAGTTGGATGATAGCTAAAAAGTTATTTGTTAAAAAATAACATTTTGTAAAACTAATAGAAAAGCTAACCAAAAGATATAAAATATCATAAAAAAACATTTAAAAGAATATGTTTCTATAATTAATTAAGAAATATATTTAGAAAATTTTAAAAAATCTCCTAAACAGCTAAGTCTAAATAGTTTTTTTAAAAAGCTAATTTCTAAGTTATTTTTTGGTTTGTCAACATGACAACTTAAAAAAATTAAAAAAAATAAGCTAGCATATCAAGTAGCTGTAGCGTACCAAACACAGTCTTAAACTAGTTTTTCAGGAGTTTCAGCTATCAATTAGCTTTTAGTTTCAACATTCCAATAGATACCATGGAATTCAATTCCTTTTTTTTTTTTTTTTTATGTGTGTGTTTGTGAAAGCTTACAAATTCCATTCAATTTAGGCTATATTTGAAAGGCTAGCTGAAAAACTAGCTTAAATGGATTTCTACATTCCAACAAGCATTCAACTCCATATTCATTTACATTCAAACACATGATTAGAATGGTAAACAATTCCAATTTCAACCAAATCCAGGATTCAAAGTACATTCAAGACCACAAAAGATAACAATTATAAGAACAAGTTTCATATGAAAACAAACATAATCTTCAAGTTTAGAAAGATAAGCAACATCTAGAGACTAAAATGATTGATTTATCATCTTAATACTCTAATAATAAAAAACCATATTTGAAATTTAACAAGAAATGGATGTTGAAAATCTAAAAAACACACTTGGGGTTTTAATATGACACCTTTTTCTCATGCATAATTCAAACGGAATATGTCATTGTACACATAAAAGCTTCCTTGTGGGGTCGGCATCAAATGGAACATCTGAATCAAAAATCAGCCACTATCAGAATTTCTTCAACAAACACTTTCTACAATTCATAAATTCTAAAAAAAAAAAAATCCACATGGATTCCATATAGGATTAAATACCTGTTCATCCAATTGAAATCCACCAAAATGGTGTAATGAGAAAACGAATATAAGTATAATAGCCTAATGAATACAATTAAAAGGTATGTGACATACACTAATGCCACAAACTTGTCTTAACACTTGTAAAATCAAATGTTTGGATCATTGATTTAGGAGTTGATAAACATAGGACAATGCTAATAAGGAGTTACAAATGTTCTTGATATAAGTGATTTAAACTTAAAAACTAATCAGCCTAATAGTTTACATAAAGTTATGAACATTGGAAATTTGGAAGTTCCAACTTCTGTAACACTAGAGAACCCTTTCATGTCAGTGAGCATAAGTCTTGTGAGTTTAAGAGAATAGAATCGCAACTCTCTCTTTGTAAGAAATAATGGAACCGAGTTTCTGAACACAAAATATTACTAGTGTTCTTAACAAAAAGAGAGTTGCGATTCAGAATTTAAGTGTATAGGCACCACAGCAAAGTGGGGTAGTTGAAATAAAACACAAACATTTGTTGAATGTTGTCAAGATGATCAAAGTGAAACTGTATTAATCGTTACAAATCTGTAATTGTGGACATTAATCGAAACTCTCCAAGCAACGACAAAACATCTAGGCCGTTTTCAAATAGGATTGTAATGTAAACCCTAAATTCTCACTATTCTATGAATCAAAAGCACAGATTAAGATCCAGATTAAAGTAATCGAAACAAAGTTGTGCGGATAAAGTGTTTGAAGAAATACCTGACTGAATCGCAGAGCGTGCTGTTCACCAGCAAGTTGGAGATTTCCGCTGACGAAAACAAGCATACCGCCGGCAGGTCCAGATGGCTGACAATCGACGGTGGTGATGCTGTGTTTGCACTGCTGGAAAGGGAGGGAGGTGAGCTTGGCGACGATGTTCTGAGAGCCTTGGATCTTCTGGCCTTCAAAGGTCAACATGGAAGTATCTTGATACAGATTAGCTAATCCAGCGCGATTGTTATCGAACGTTGAGTAGTAATGATCTACGAATGCTTTCGATAAAGCGTCTGGATCCATTTTTGTTTCTCCGCCTTCGTTCACCTCTTTCTGTTTCACTCTGTTTGTGTTTCTATCCCTTTCTTTCTCCCTCTCTCTCTCAACCCAGCTGATAAATCACGCTACAATGAGCCGGGTATGGTTGGGCCCAGCAAAAAAAAAAAAGTTGCAAAACTATGAAATGGATTCTTATAGTTTTTATTTGTAAATTTTTTAAAAATATAAAATCTTAATATTTTTATGGATTTGATAAGAAAGTCTTAAAATTTATTTTTTGACTGTAAAACCCTAACTATGGGTGGTTTTTGTCATTTTTACCCATTTTTGTTGGTTAGCTGGTAATTAGGATTTTTTTGTCAAAAAAATAAAGTTTAAAACTTTTTTTTTGTCAAATTGTAAATTAGGATTTTACAAGTCAAAAAATAAAGTTTAAGATTTTCTTGTCAAATTGTTGAAAATATTAGGATTTTAGTGTATATATTCATTTTTTTTTGTTAGAAATTTAATGATGTGATAGTCTTTAAGCATAAAAGTTATTGAAACATGCTCTAGTTAGCTAGATCTTATTGAAATCTTTAATCTTTGCTTCTTGTTAAATAGTTTTTTTAATTTCAACAAAACGATATTGAAAAAAATGGACATAATCAAGGAAGAAAGAAAAAATCAGGGTTGTGGGTTATGTTGGTTTTTTACAGTTCTAAAAATGGAGAACTAACAAATCAGGAAAAAAAAAATTACCCTTCGGCGAGAATGTGGAGAAGGGGTAAGAAGTTTTTTTTTTTTTTTTTTTTCCTGGTTTCTTAGTTCTTCATATTTAGGACTGCAAAAAACCAACACAACCCACAACCCTAATTTTTTCTTTCTTTTTTGATTATCTTCATTTTTTTCAATATCGTTTTGTTGAGATTAAAAAAAGTATTTAACAAGAAGCAAAGATTGAGGATTTCAATAAGATCTAGCTAACTAAAGCATGATTCAATAACTCTTATGTTTTAAGACTATTATATCATAAAATTTCTAACAAAAAAAAATGGATATATACACTAAACTCTTAATATTTTCAATAATTTAACAAGAAAGTACTAAATTTTTTTTACAGTAAAGTTCTAATTTACGATTTGACAAGAAAATCATAAACTTTATTTTTTTTTTGTCAAAAAAATCCTAATTACTAGTTATGGCAACAATGGGTAAAAGTGTCAAAAAACCGTCGGTAGTTAAAACTTTACTATAAAAAAATAAATTTTGAGATTTTTTTGTCAAATCGATGAAAATATAAGGTCTTTACTGTATATATCATTTTTTTAAATAAATGATTAATGTGATTTATAAAATTCATAAACGTTTTCCTTTAATCTAATTTATGTGAACAGTATCATTTTAATTTTTTATATTAAAACTTTATTTTATATTTCTTTTAATTACAAAAAGCCAAAAATTAGATAGACCCCACCATCACACCACATTATTCTTGTTTATTTGGTTCCTCAGATTTCTTGTCATCATATATTCATACAACCTAAAGAGAGTGTGATTTAGCATCTCATAGTTTTGGGAGTGGTATGTGGTTTGACCGCACTCAGGATATATGGATTTAAAACGTTTTTTTTTTTTGTTCTTCTGGTTCGATTAACGACATCAACATTATAAATCATTTACCTACATTTAACAATATATATGGTTGATTTGCACCAAAAATCTTCTTTTCATGTATATATAACGTAATACAAGTAAGATTATTATCTTGTTGATGAGATCTATCTTAAATATGTTGTGTTTGTTAAATCATTTTCATGTCTACATGGTTTTAGACAGAAAAAAATCAAGAGAGCTCAAGAAAGAGCTAGGAAGAATGTCAGTCGGGCTCTTGGATCTCTTAAGAAGCGTTGGTACATAGTGAAAAAACCAATAATTTATTTAGACAAGGAAAAACTTCAAGAAATCATGTATACATTTATCATATTGGAATATTGCATAATATGATTATTGAAGACGGAGGAAGAGCGATATGTGCGTATGACGAGCAGGAAACCATCCCCGATACATAACCAATAGAAATTGGTTGCAACAAGTACATGGATAGAAGAGTAGAGATATGTTGCACTAAAATATTTCATAATCTTTGCATGGACTTTGTGCAACCAAGTACATGGATAGAAGAGTAGAGATATGTTGCACTAAAATATTTCATAATCTTTGCATGGACTTTGTGGAACACTTTAACCTCAATTTAGATCCCCTGGATGGCTCAGAAGACGAGTTCTCGGAGGACGACTCCATGTAGTATATTTTTGTTATTTTATTTGTATTTTTTTAAGTTATTTTAATCATTTCATGTGTGTGTTTTTTTGTTTGTATGATTTTTTTAATTTTATGTTTTTTTTTTCTAATTTTAAGTAATGCAATGCAATGTATTTTTTTTGATGTAATGAAATTTTATGTTTTTTTTTTTTATTAAAAGTGAAGTTTAATTTAAATTAAATAATTAAAAAAAGTGTAGCACCACTCCTTGGGTGTGGCAAAAAGCCGCACTTTTGTGGTAAAATATGACACCAGTCAAGTTTTGGTCAAAAATAAATTGATCAATAATCATAATTGGGATGAACCAAGTGGTAGAGATTGTAACAAGGTTTCCAAAAATATAAAGAGCACTGAAATCCGAGTTATAACGAAGAAGTTATGACCAATCGAAAATCCTCGATAAAACCGGCAAAACACTGTTCAGTGTAAAAAGTGAATTTTCGATAAAAGGCCTTTTAGCCTTAACAATCTAAATAAAAGTTGTAGAATATGTTAAACCAAGAACGTTCATAAAAAGAACGTCAAATCTAACTTCGTATGATGAAGTTATGATTTTTCGAAGTTTCGGTTTAGCAGTAGACAACTAAAAATTCGAAATATAAATCAATCGATATTTAGCCGACGCAACTTAAACGAGAATCGAAGGTCTCGTTAAAAGTAGCACAGCGGTAAAAAGACAGACGAAAACGGACGTCGGATGAAGAAGTTATGAATTTTTTACGGATTTTCTTGTCCTGGTCTGTTAAAAATAATAATATTAAAAATAAAGTCAAAATTAGCCGACGAAGTCTAAAGGAAAGTCGTAGAGTATAATTTTACCTACACGTTCATATAAAGAACGTCAAAAACGGAGTTCGTATGCAAAAGTTATGGATTTTAGAAGTTTTTGGCACAAAAATCAAGAAAATATTGAAAACCAGGAAATTTCGCTGAGTCACTCCTCGGACACGTCACCTCGCATGCGAGGCCTCCACGTGCCATCCTCTGGTTGGACCGAAGTTCTCCATGTCACGATCTGATTGGACCGAGACCGAGGTCCAATAAGCAACCGACAACCCTCGCAGGAGACACCCCTCTGATCCTCGTGGCAGCTTCTGATTGGACCGAAGTTCGGCCAACTAGCGATCCAACGCGCGCCTTGCCTCGCTGTCTCGCATCCGGACTTTGCACTCATGGCCTTCGCTCCTTCCGACGCATGTGCTGCTGACTCCTCGCCCTCACCACCTGTCCCACTTCGGACCGCACCCTCGCACCCCTATATAAAGGGTGCGAGACTTCTCGGATCTGAGAGATTTTTCAGCCCAAATTTCACCATTTTTCACCTTTTCACCCCTCGACTTTCTCACGACCCCGAAGGCCCCGGTATCACGTCTAAAGCCCGAAGCAAGCCCCGGAGCCTCGAAATTCTCGAGAATTCATCCTCTCTCCTGTCGAAACTCTGCCCGATTTAAGCTGGTTTTTCGTCAAACAAACTATTTTCCGAGAAACGAAACGCTGCCCGAATTACCACCTATCAAAGTGAGTTCATACCCCTATAATTTATCTTTTTAATGGTTTTTAAATGCTTTTTAGGGGGGGGGGGGATACAAGTTTAACACAATATTAAATTGTGTTAATAACTGTAAGTGATAATAATCACGCAAATAGTTTCCGTATGCTTTCAAGAATTACCAAATACATCCAAAATGACTTAAAGCCATGTTAAATCTTTAAAGTCATGTAAATTACGTTAAATTCTTTGAAAAATGTTTTATAAACTATTTCAAATTATAAATGCCAAAAATCATGTTTATATATGTATAAATACATAAATAAGATTTGAAGGACTTAGGACTAATGAATTATCTTATTTCCTTTTCCTTGTTTGGATGTGGAGTTAAGATTGTGTTATTTGTCCGAAGGTCGTTTCCTTCTTAATTATATATATTATACATATACTAGTATAAAAAGGTCACCCGTTTTGGTATCATTACCTATGTATCAGGCTGAGCAAAGGTGTTCATCCATGAGAAATCATGTTAACCAGATAGAACATATAAATTATAATAGGTATAATTTATGATTCAAAACTAAATATACAAGTATGATTCACATTCCAAGGAAAGTACCAAAACTTATTTAACTATATCAAGATAGGTATAATGCCTTTAATATACGAATAACATATTAAATAAGTAAAGATACATCATACCGGGTTTGCATTAACAAAGGTACGATACAAAGTACCAGATTTAGCAATCACGAGGTAATAATACATCATACCGGGTTTGCATTAACAAAGGTACGATACAAAGTACCAGGGTTAGCAATCACGGGGTAATAATACATCATACCGGGTTTGCATTAACAAAGGTACGATACAGAGTACCAGGGTTAGCAATCACGGGGTAATAATACATCATATTGGGTTTGCATTAACAAAGGTACGATATAGAGTACCAGGGTTAGCAATCACAGGGTAATAATACATCATACCGGGTTTGCATTAACAAAGGTACGATACATAGTACCAGGGTTAGCAATCATAGGGTAATAATACATCGTAAATCTCGTTGAAACAATAAATTTGTGAGACCCTTCACGGTGTACTTATCTAAGTACAACTTTAAGTCCTGACCTATTAACCAGAATCTCTTGTAGGGAGAGCGTGAATTTGTGTATAGATCTACATGGGACTGACAATCCCGCACCTCTACTGTTCGCTATAGTTTGGCCGACAGGCCTAGGGTGTGAAATATCATTCCATTCTGACGCCTGAAGAACGTCGCTGCAGGCATATCAGTCATATTAGTATGGTTAATATAAATCACATGGATAAAACAATGAGTGAATTACTAAGCAATATACTTCTCTTAAAACAGTAA